CCAGGCTAATAATCAGAATAAGAACGCATAATGTTTTCAAAAATAGATATCATGGTTAGTAGAGGCCAATCTTTGATCGAGCGAGCGGGGGTGCTCACGAAGTGACCTTCCCCAATCGTACCCAAGTTCCCGAGCCGAAGCGACTTTGGTGATGACGGACACGTAGCCTTAGACAACGAGTCAGGGTTTCCTAAATTCCCCCAAAATAAAATATTTAGGTGGCAACTCTATATCTGGCAAAGCAGTCCATGTTTGGCACTTCTTTCAAAATTTGTTTTCTCAAATGATTTGTCGGATTTGGACTCTTTGGTTCAGATTTAGAACCGTGACAATTTGAGAGTCCTGAACTGTAGTGAGCCCAATATGAACAGAACCGGGGGGGGACTCGTCCTCCCGAGGCGTTCGGGGACGTCTACACAACGCATTTCAGATATCTTTGTTAAGATATTACTCACAGTGATCGGTTGGTTGATTTGCCCTGGAGCTTGACCCTACACATCACATAACACATATGGGTCACAAACAATTCAATCCGTTCTTAATTCGCATATTCCTCTTTAGGCTTCATTCTTATCCTTTTAACTCATTTACAATGCTTAATGCATGCCTAAGAGTGCTTAGAAGTGAAGAGAACGGAAAACGAAACACAGAACGCATTCACAACATTTCAGAAACAGGGGTCCCTGCTCGAGCGTGGACTTCCCCGGTCAAGCGGACCCATGAGGTCTGTAAACGTGCTGGTTATATCAAATTTATGCTCGAGCGCGAACTCGGTCTACATAGTTCCCCGTTCGAGCATGAACTTCCCCGCTCGAGCGGACGTCATGTTTGTAGAAAATACTAGGAGCTCGTATTTCCCGCTCGAGCGGACATCATAAATTCTGAGTTTTCTAGAATGGTTCTTGAGCTCAAATTCAACATCCAAACCAACATTTCTTGCATATTATGGCTCAAACTTAACATATACATATACTAACATGGCACCAACACCAAATTACAACATTATGAGGCTCAATTCCATGAATTACTTACATGCATGACTCAAATTATCCCAAACTCATCACCAACATGCTAAACTCAAACATTCAAGACTCACACCTCCATGATTTGCACATGCATGTGGGAGATACTCATTATTCTCACTTAATTGGTGAGAGATGGTCAAATACATGGACTTCAACCAAAATTCAACATGGATTACACACTTTATGCTCAAACATTGAATTTATAGCAATTTCTTACATGCATGCACCTATTGACTTCAAATTCAACAAACTAACTCAATTCATGACCTTTATCATCATTCAACCTTGAATTTACAAATTTACAACTAGAACTCATAGATACTCACCAAGGAGCTTTAATCTTCACAATCTATGGTTAATCCTTGAGTTTAATCTTCAAGATTTCCAACCTTGAGCCAAAATTGCACACTTCTCCTCTTGCTCCCTCTCTAGAGCCGGCCCTCATTATCACAAATGTATAATTCAGATTTTGAGCTCAAAAAGAAACAAATGAGAGTGTATAATGGCCTTTTATAAGCCCTCTCTCAAATACATTATTTAATATTAATTAATTGGGCACTCATTCATTAATTTAATCAAGTTAATTAAATCTGAATCAATTTTCAATTTAAATTTCACCATAGGCTCTAAAAATTTACGCCAATCACAATGGCGTAGTCAATTTCGATTTCTGTGGCGATAAGGCCTTCAATTTAAATTCCAAAGCAGATAATCAAACAAATATTTCTACGGTGAACAGATGAAATTCACAACACATATATTCACATAATGGCACACAAAATCATATTAGACACATAATCACATTCAATAATAAGGACCAATTACATAATATGAAAAAGAGTTATCACATTTTTTTTTATTTTTTTTCAAGAAAATTAATTAATCCAATAGTGCAAAACTCTCATAAGACGCTTCGTCAAGTTTGGACACGGTTATATTTTTTAATTTCTTTAGCAATTCACAACCATCCTTACAAAATTGAAAGAAGATGGTATTTGATTAATATGTAACTATTGGCTTATTCATTATTGTAATTTTTTTACTTTTTAGAAATATTGAGCTTGATCATATTATTTTTTTTGGCTTATTTTAATGATTTTAGATTTGAATTTTCTATGATTTGGTATGGGAAGGAATTGATTTAGAATGATATTTAACATTAAACTTTGTTGGTTGGTTCGCAATTTGAATTCAACTTTATTTTTTTATTTTGATTTAATTCAATTGTTAAGTTATATATATGGTAGCTATGTGTACTTTTATATTATATGGTTGTTATAGGTTGTATAATTGAAGTTACCATTTGTTTCAAGTGACTTATATTTCAACATTGGTTTTCCTTTTAAATTTAGAATAAATTACATCGGTAGTCTTTAAATTTTTGTCTCTTGTGTCGTTTTGGTCTCTATACTTTCAATTGACTCAATTTTGACTCTTAATTTTTTAGATTTTTATGTCAATTTCAGTCTAATTGATAATCACGTCAGGATTTTGGATGAAAAAATAGTTATTAAATTAGTTGTTGTTAACTCAGTAAATTGATAAAATTTATAAATCTCCCTTACGCAATACATGTTGCTTCATATGCGCATTTTTCATTAAAAAATATTGACAATTATAATTAATTAAATCAAATTGGGACAAAGTCAAAATCAAATCAATTAAAATTAGATAACCAAAATGACACAAAAACAAAATATAAGGAGCTATCGGTGTAATTTACTCTAAAATTTATTTTTACAAAAAAATGGTTTTGAGACAAATAAAAATATTACAAATTCAATTTTCTATACTACTTTCTACTTATTTTTTCCAACTAATTAAACCTATTATTTATTATAGCAAATGTGACTTTTATTTCTATTTTTTTCACCTAAATCCATTTCACTATAATTGAACTCAACAGAAACGTGGGGTGTTTCAATTATTATTTTTTATTTTTTGTTTTGTTTATACTTCTCCCTTATTTTCCTAAAGTCAACTTAAAATGTTGTTCTAAACTCTTTCCACCAAAAGCAAGACCGTGGCGTGTTTCAATTGTTTATTTATTTATTTATAATATAATAAACAAACAGTAATGCTAGCGATCATAAAAAATATATAGCACCAAGCAACCTACACCGCTTAAGCCCGACCGAATACGCTTTAACTGATTGTAATCTTCAACCCTATCTATATAAAACATCATGAAAATGATCATGAAAAAATTTCCGCTTATTAGATTAGCATGTACAAAAAAATACCACACACTAATCGAAAGGAAGAGAAATCTTCAACGAACGGCCATATATGCATTTCTTCGAATCTTCCATTGCTATCCTCCCTTTTTGATTCGAAACAGGTTTGGCGGCTGAGTAATCTCAATCCTTAAATTAACGACCAAGCAAACCTCGCGCTCATTGAGAGAGTCAAAACTTGAACCCTTCGATCTTATCGTCAAGTCTTTTGCAGCCTCCTTAGTACTGGTACGAGTATGGCAGAAGACAAGTTTTTCTGCTTCAACCTTGCCAGAGAATTTTGTCCAAGCTGGGGTCGTCTCTTATCCAAGACAATCTGGATTAACATGGGCGTCAAAAAGGACGCTGAGGATTGCTAGAGAAACGAAGATCTCACCCTCAGAAATGTTCTTTCTTGGATGCACAAAGATAGGGCAAGATTACCAACCTTGCTGTCAAAGAATTGGCTACGAAGGCTCAAACTTGTTTTTACATGCTGATGACTTTTGGATGAATTACGAGCACAAGGGCTTTGACAAGGCAAGTGGAACCTCAAGAGCTGTGTACTGAGGAGAGAGGTAAGCACTTTTTTACAAGCTCAAATCCAATTGATTTCGGTTTGAATGTGGCTCGTAAAACTAAAGGATATCAAGGAGAGGCTAGATGAGATTGCTTCGGAGATGAGAAGATTTTAATTTTGTTGTGGCAAGTTGCTATGAAAAGCCAATCAAGATAAAAAGAAAGAGAAGAACCTCCTCCTTTGTGCGTGATTCCGGAGGTTATTGGAGAGGAAGGATAAAGAAGATTTAAATAAAAATTGTTATTGTTCTCCGAGGAGGAGAGAACGTTCACATTAATTCCCATTGTGGAGATGGGGGTTAGGAAAGACACGCTTTGCCATCAGTTTGGTATATAATGACTATAGGATCGAAGATAATTTTACCAAAAGATTTTGTGGGTGTGTGTCTCTTGATGATTTGATATAGAAAAAGATACTAAGAGAAGTTCACTAACAGTGCAGGGGACAATAATTGCAATAATGAGGAATTGAGCAAATTTTGCAAAGTGCTTGTTCAAAAAAATTGCTTGAGTTGAAGAGAAGATCTTTCCTTGTGTTTGGATGCATGTATGGAATGAGGCCTGTAGGAAAATAGGCAAAAATTGCATGATTTGTTGATGTCAGTGGAAAGAGGAAGTAGAATTGTTGTCACACCCGTTTAAGTAGGAAGGTTGCTTCAATTGTGCGCACTATTGGAATCTTCCAACTAAAGGTCCTTTTAGATAGTGATTGTTTAGCTATATTGGTGAACTGGGCATTTGAAAAAGGGGAAGAGAGTAAGCATCCAAACTTGATTCAAGTATTGGTAGAGAAATAGGTGAAGAAATGTGGTGGAGTACCTCTTGCAGCGAGGACCTTGGGAGTTTTGTTGTAACCAAAAAACTAATGAGCATGATTGGTTTGTCGCGTGAGGGATAACGCGATGTGGGTCATGTCCAAAATAAGAATGATATCTTACCAGTATTAAGGTTGAGTTATGATCAAATTGCTTCAATCCTAATTTAAAAGCAATGCTTTGCCTATTGTTCATTTATTTGGGAAGAATCAAACAATTACACAAACAGAAGTTAATATTTTTGATGGCACAAGGATTCCTACATCTTCAGCAGGAAAATTGAAGATTAGAAGATATAGGCAAGAGTATATTGGAAAGCTGTGAGGAGTTCGTTCTTCAACCCGATCATGGAAGGTACATATTAAATGCATGATCTTGTTCATGATCTTGCAAAATATGAGCAGGTGTTGTAATGTCATGACTTTTTGGAAGGAGAAAATACCAAGGTATTCCTAATAGGTTCAGCATGTATTCAATTTGGTTCAACATCTTATCACAAACTTTCAAGACCTTTGATTGAAGCACAGTTGCGAACCATTGTTGTACCAAGAAAAATAGAACCTGACTTAGCAGTATCCATTGAAGCAGAATTGTCAAGTTTTAGTCGCTTACGTGTGCTAAATTGCAAATGTACAGATGCGAAATTGGATGATGACACTGAACAACCTTTTTATTCCACTGAACATGTACACCGTAAGCCCATTGGAAATTTGAAGCATTTAAGGTATCTTAGTTTTCGTGGCTCAAAGGTACATCCTAAATCTCTTTGCAAGCTATTAAACTTGCAGTACTTGGATCTGTATGGGTCAGGACTTCATGAATTACCTGAAGATTTTGGCAAACTAATCAACTTGCGGTTTTTGTCCTTATCATCCAGACTGACATGTTTGCCAGAAAAAGGGATAGGTGGCTTAACTTCTCTCCGGACACTACAACTTTATGATAATCCTGAATTGACGTCTTTGAGCGAAGGGATACGACACCTTACTTGCCTCCGACAATTGTTTATAAGGAAATGTCCAAAGTTGGCTTCACTGCCTATTGGCTTTAAACACCTTTCTTCCCTTGAGTATTTGTCGATTAAATGGTGTGATACTCTTAAATTCTCAGAAGATAATGATCTACTAGGGATGACAAGTATTAAAGAAGTAGTATTAACTGATCTTCCAGAATTAGTATGTTTGCCATTGGGGATTCAACATGTTGCTTCTTCACTAAATAGCTTGATAGTTGGAAATTGTCCAAAGTTGGCTTCACTGCCTGCTGGCTTTAGACACCTTACTTCCCTCGAGAACTTGTCAATTAAAAAATGTGATACTCTTAAATTCTCGGATAATGATTTACAAGGGATGAGAAGTCTTAAAATATTGGTTTTATCTGATCTCCGAGAGTTGGTGAGTTTGCCAATGGGGCTTCAAGACGCTGCTACTTCACTACATAGCTTGACACTTCGAAATTGTGTCAAGTTGAAGACCCTTTCAGAATCTGTTCTCCCAAATCTCAAATCACTTCAAGTAATTGAAATTGAGAAATGTTATAGTTTGTTTTTCCTACCAGAAGAGATGCAGTCTCTCACTATGCTACATTCTCTAAAAATTTCGCAGTGCGAGGTCTTGATTAGAAGATGTTTTGAAAGGGATTTCTTCATGATAGCTCATGTGCCTGAAATTTATATTGATGGGGCAAAATTTGAACCTTCTCACTACAACATCAGCAAGCAAGGCAAGCAACTCTTTCTCCAGGTATTTTCATAAATTTTCTCATTATCATATACATAGCTTTAAGCGTTAATTAGTTTAGAATTTCCAGTATACAAAACCACAAGACCTACCAAGATAGCACAATAAATACCTCTCTGTCTCAAACACACACACGCACGAGATATTAATTAAACATATAAATAGGAGTGACCATGGTTCAGGTTAGGAGGAAATCAAAGTCTGAACCACTACCTATGGTTCTATAAAATTTGAAATCAAATCAAACCATGAATATTCTTAAGAAATAGAGGATTGGGAATAAAATATAATATCATACCCTGCTTTCTGACTCTATTTTTTGTAAATATGGTGAATGAAAAAAAAAGGTTTGTCAAGTAATAATAAGAACTATTTATAGGTCTTACTGCAAAATCTTAGATCTTTGATGTTGTTGAACTTGTATCATGACAGGGTCAAAGTTGGAGTAAAGTTTTAAATGTGAAGGAAGAACATGATTTCCGAGGTTTCTCCAATGTTGGCACAAAATTCTGGACGTAGCTTGTGATGTAGAGTGCTTGACCATAGAATTTCAAGAACTCATGGATCCAAGGGGATAGGTAAAAAAGGCTTGTTAGGTATTTTAGCTAATATAATTCTAATTTTGAGCTCCAATGGGCTGGCTATTAGGCTAGCTATTTTACCATTCTATTTTTTTGGTGGCTACAATTGAAGAGCCCCATAGGCTCTCCAAATAAATATGCATGTATATATCTTGGATTTTTGTATATTTATGTCTTAGATTTGAGATTTTATATATGTATATGTGTCTGTAGCAATTTTATATGTTCTTTCAATTCTGTTTGATGAATTACGAAATAACTTATTTTGTATTGTATTTTTTTTTTCTCCTCATTCTACAGGTTTTGTATGTTTGTATAGGAAAATTTATTATTATTGCAAATTTATATTAGTAAAATATCAGTAATTAGTATTTTTAGTTTTAAAAATTAATTAAGTTAGTTTAAATGATTAGTTAAAATAAAGAGTGTGGTTGGAGAACACAATAGCTAAAGTAATTAGGTAAAATAAAGAGTACTTTTTTTGTACTTTAACTAGTAAAAAGTAGAGAGTGTGGTTGGAGTTAAATAAGGCAAAGGCAAAAAGATACGAGTAGACATATGATGACATGTGCTCGGAATGACGTGTAATTTGGTTGGGATATGAAAAATTATGTGGCAACCAATACACATTGCTTCGTCATGAGCTACGATATATTTTGGGCAAATTCGAATGCTTAGGCATTCAACTTTATGATTTTGCTGTTTTTTAAAATAAGACAAGAATGGATCATTGATCTCATGTTTGTGAAACATTGAATAGAAAGAAATTAATGGGAAAAAAAATATTACATTTGTTATGACCCCATATTATTCAATTGCCCTATTGAAAGAGTGGGGAAAAAAAATTGAAATTAATGATTAGAACTTTTCACAAACAAAATAAATTAACTATACTTGTACACTTCAGGAAAAAAAATATTACATTTGTCATCCCCCCATCCTAAAAAGAGGTAAAAATTAAATGAATGATTGGAACGATATGTATGTATATTAATGAAGGCCATAAATTACTTAAATATGCATTATCATGTTGTATTCCAAAAAGTTAAATGTATGTTTGGTTTGATTTTTCAAAAACTGTTTTTAGATGAGTTTTTTTTTTTTTTTTTTAAATTTTTAGTGATTTTTTTTTTATTAATCAATTCTTTGTACTTTTTAGATTTATCTAAAAAATAAAATAAATTAACTAAAATATTTTTTAAAAATCAGTAAAAATTGATGAAAATTTTAACAAAAATCTGTATGTATTTTTGTTTGGATTTTCGTTTGTTTTTTGTGAATTTTTTTCATTTTTAGTTAACCTTTTTTATTTTTTAGATGCATCCAATCTTTGATATACAATAAAATAAAATAAAAAATGATAAAAATATGAAAAAAAAAGTAGAGTAAAGACAAACGAAAATCCATTTAAAAATAATTTCTGAAAATTATAACCAAACAAATTTTTTGTACAACAATGCTAGGTAGCTCAAAATGGCTCAAATCACTCAAAACAACGTCGTTTTGACAGATTTGAGCCATTTGAACCACAAAATTTTAGGCTACCAAATATTTTTCTTTTTTGTAATGTTACACTTGTATTGTTAAAGGATTATCATTGGCGGATATGAGCATCTAAGTTCTCATAGGTTTGAGGGATGATGTTGTGCCTTAACACACACCAACCTATTGTGACCCCTCATGGGGCCGATACGGGGTCTATTTCGATAATCCGAATCATTCATATTGTAGAATGATCATTTAATGAATCAGGTTAATCAAACAATTGTAGCCACATGACAATATCACATTTGTTTTTTTAAAAAATAAATAGTAAGCATGATTTTGATAATAGACTATCTATTTTTTATACCATGATTATCTGGTTACGAATGTCCGATTAATTTCATTTTTTTAATAGATACTCTACCGGTAAATCCTACAATATGAATGGTTCAGATAATCAAAATAGACCTAATTTCAGCCCCAATGAAGGGTCAGAGCAAGCTATTGTGCCTTAAATCCAGACTGTCTTAATCTTCCAAACAACTCTTTGTTAGTTGTAAATAATTATTTTACCCACCCCATTCTTGCAAATAGAAACAAATTCAATACAGCATATTTTTTTTATTTTTTTGACACAACAAATCAATTTTTAGTTGCATTTTTATTCATAATAATCAACTAGGTTTCATTTAAACGAAGTATAGCTATGGTTTACAATGTTACAAGTTCATATACTCAGAGGTCTTTATAAAGGAAATTATTGAATTTCTTTGGGGCAATGCTCCAGAACAATATTTACCCAAAAAAAATTGCTCCAGAACAATCACTATTTGTTACTCTTTATATTGTTTCTCAAAACACTAATATGAAATGAACAATAAACCCTACATGACAAGATGGGTTTATTGTCTTTTATTTCCTTTTGGTTGTCAAGTAAATGGTTGTCCAAGGCTGGTGACCAAGGAAAGAGAGAAATAAACGGATGATTTTCCCATTTTGCCGATAATTAGGCCTGGTTTGGCATGTAATAGTTTTAGCATAAAAATCAAAAAATTACTAAAAAAATCAAAAAACTTGTAATCTATACTAAAAAGTTAAATATTTCATTTTCACTGTACTTTTTGCAAATCTTTTTATAAAAAATCAAAAAGTCATTCCAAATGTACTAATTTTTTTCACCTCATATTTTAGTTAAAAAGTCAAAAAGTTATTAAAATAACATGTAAGGGGATTAATAGTGAGAGGATTGTTAGTGAGGGGATTGATAGTGAGGGGATTAAGTAAAACTGTATTTGTTTTGATGATAGTTGTTATTGTAGGAATTGTTAAATTATTTTTATATAAAATAATAAAACAAATAAAA